GAAAACCAACAACTTCTATCTTATACAGACTATACCTCCGTGATAAGTAGTAACTACTTTGTGAGAGGATATCAGGGCCCCCCCCCCAGACCCCCCCCCCCCCCCCCCCCCCCCCCCCCCCCCACCCCCCCCCCCCCCCCCCCCCCCCCCCCCCCCCCCCCCCCCTGGGCTCTGACATACTCTCGTACCTATAAAACACTGCATCTTTATTGCTTCTGTTGGTATTATCTTTTTAAGAAAAACTGTGTTTGTCCCTTATATATTTTGTTTTTTCCTGATACTTGTAATTTTTTCCTTATGGGAATCTTCTGGGCCCCACTGGCATGAGGACTTTTTGTTCAAGCATGCCCATTAATCACATCAATCAACCCCACTGTCGAAGTAGCACGCAGGATCTACTGGAGCATGTGAGACAAAGTGGGCTTGTGTTGTTGTTACGTAACTCTGGGGGCGAGTCGAGCCAAATCTCACCACAGTCTTACAGTAGCTGACCTTGGTTTGTTCCGGCGACAGCCACAACAGAACAGTGGGAGCCTTCTCTTGAGCTCTAACAGCTTTGGTCCTCATGCCAGTGGGGCCCCAGAAGATTCCCATAAGGAAAAAATTACAAGTATCAGGAAAAAACAAAATATATAAGGGACAAACACAGTTTTTCTTAAAAAGATAATACCACAGAAAGCAATAAAGATGCAGTGTTTATAGGTACGAGTATGTCAGAGCCCTGCTGATATCCTTCACAAAGTAGTTACTACTTATCACGGAGTATATCTGTATAGATAAAGTTGTGGTTTTCCTAAGATGTACAAAAAGCAAAGTGCAATAATTTACTTATGGTTTAAAAAACGATTAAGTTTTAAGGCTTCATCAGTGAATGATTTCAAGTGCTGAGGAATTACATAACAGAGAACCCTCTTCAGGGTAAGTCTGTAGATCTGTGCAGTGCTATATAGTTAAAAAGATATGCTGCTATCTGTGATCTGAGAAGGAGACAGAGGGAGCTAACACAGCAACAGCTTCTCTTTTAGAAATAGAGTAAGTCGGATATGGCGCCGGGCAGGTGGGTCATCAGCTGCAGTCTGATCCACCAGCGTGGCTCCATGGGGGTGTATCGCGAGTAAGGACGCTTGGACATGATGGCGTCGGCGATGTCATCCATAACAGGGGCCACATCCTTGTGTCCGCTGTTGCAGTAAGAGCGCATCAGACCCATGTGGTGCTCAAAGTGGGCTTTCCCATAATCCTCCTTCACGTTCGAGGGCGCCTCGTTCCACAGCTTGTTGGCTGTGCTGGCCACAATGTCACGGGTCAGGATGCCGGTGGCCACAATGAAGTTCCCAGGTTCGATTATGGACACCTTAACGCCCCAGCCCTTCATCTCATAGCGCAGGCAGTCAGAAAAAGCTTCCACGCCGTATTTAGATATACAGTAAGGGGACCGCATGACATTTCCCATCCTCGCATACATGCTGGCCAGGTTCACCACACGGCCTGCAGTCAGAGGTAGAAGGCATCAGAAATGTGCAGAAGAGCTGATACTCTTCTGTAACCAATGCTCTAATGGTAACCCTTTTTAAAACAAATGTATCAAATAGAATATGATGATTCATGCACAATTAGTGCAGCCTGTAGTGCACCAGTAATAAAAAACGTAAAATGAAATAAAAGGCCACAAGTGCTGCTTGTTAAACCCACTAAACCTCCAGGTCCATAGTCCAACACTCTTAAGAGATTTTCTGAACAAGAACATGGCCTGGAGCTTTGCTCAGCTGAGCAAATAATTTAACTACATCTCTGGTTCTTGATGAGTCACTTTTTACTAGCTTATTAAAAGCAGTGCACCACACTGCAGTTCTGCTGGCTACTGTTGAGCTTTTTCCAACTAAAGTCTTTTCTGAAGGAAGCATTCAAGTTTTCTTTCTGCTTTCTGCACCACTTTTAAACATCATCTCTCCTGTTGTTCTTGCACCTAAACTGTGGACTCAACTATCATCTCAGTCACCTCCACTTTTTTTAGTAATTGTCAACTAAAAACACACATTTTTAAATGGGCTTTTATGTGACTTGCATTAATATAAAACATATATATATCTCCCGGTTTATGTGATGTCAGTTTATCTAATTGTGTCTTCTTTTACTTTTACATTGCATAATTTGTATTTCGTTACAATATAAGTATTAAAAGTTTCATGTCACATTATGGAAAAAGGCTTTAAATTTGTCTGTTTCAGGCTTGTTTGCATTGTTAACATTCCTCACAGAAATCACGGTTGGCTGCACCGTTTTCCATCAAAAAGGAATTCTAGCAATGTTTATAATCCATACTTAAAAAACTTGAAGTAAAAGCCAAGGTGTTTGTCCCTTTAACATGTTTACAGTTTAACACTACCATTTTGGACACTATTTAACTTAAGTCAAGTTTAAAAAAATCAAAAATTGATAATGTGTAATGAAGAGAGTAATTTACCTTTGGCCCTGCGGATTAATGGTAGAACAGCTTTGGTGACCCTGATGGTGCCCCACAGGTTGACTTCCGACACCTCTTTGTAGGTGTCAATGGAGGTAAACTCCACTTCTCCAAATGTTGACACACCGGCATTGTTTACCACAGCCCACAGACCTGGGTCATAAACAGTGACGGAAAGACACAGAGGATTAAGTCTGTGAATGAGCACACATTGATCTTTTTATCTAAGTAAGTGAAGACAGGTGCTGATGCAGTATTTACCTCTTTCAGAGTCCTCCATGTTGTCCTTGATATATTCCACAGCCTGTTTCACCTGCTCCTCACTGCAGACATCCAGCTGGATTACCTTCATACGATCTGAATGAAACTCCTCCAGCTTCTTTGCACCCTCTCCATCTTTATCCTGCAGGGATGACAGGTCTTCTCAGTTACACCAACTCAATTAAAGTTAATATTAAATGTTATCAATGCTTTGAAAAATGCATTTGGAAGTGCATAGCAGCCTCCAAAAACAGGGAACTTTACATGCATCGCTAGAAAAGTGCATACTGTGCATTCAGCTCTACTAGGTACACCTAGCTAAAACTGAGGAAGGAATTTGTCCAATCAATTTAAATCAATAAGGGTATATTAGAAATGCCTCTCATCATAATAAAGTTCGACAGCATCACAAACAACAGCCTCAAAATGACCGTTAAGTTGAATTAATACCTCTGAGAGAAAAACAAACCATTATAACCCATTATAACATTCCTGGTAAGACCTTATTGCAGGGCTATTGTTTTGGACTGCATTAGTTTTATTTAGGACATAGGCTGTATATTATATATACTGGCATTCATTTAGTATGTTTAGCCCGTACCTTCAAAAGACATCCTGCAAACACTATGAAGCCCAGCTTGTGCAGATGTTTGGCAAGTGCATGGCCAAATCCAGTGTCACAACCTGTAATAAGTACAGCTTTCCCCTTCACCTGCAGAAAGGGCCAAAATACAGTCAGGTTTTTATGGAGGTAGATTTATTTCAATATTATTTGTATGAAAAGATTGACAATCAACAAACTGACAAATGTAAATGTGTAATATGTAAATAAAAAACAACTTCCACAAATACTAAAAATACATTTGCAAATTCACTTTTCTGAAATTTTTGTGCCAAACTATACTATGACGTTTTAAGCCTTACTGTACTATGACATTTTTGTGACATTTTTCATGCCTTACTATACTATGACGTTTTTTATACTTTACTTTGCTATGACGTTTTTTATGCCTTACAATACTATGATGTTTTAAGAAGTTTTTAATGCCTTACTTTGGTATCACATTTTCATGCCTTACTATACTATGACATTTTTTATGCCTTACTATGATATGACATTTACATGACTTACTATAGTATGAAATTTTTTATGCCTTACTATACTATGACTTTTTTTTATACCTTACTATACTACGAAGTTTTTTGTACTATACTATGACATTTTTATGACAGTTTTCATGCCCTCTTATAATATCAAGTTTTTATGCCTTACTATACGAAGACTTTTTTTTATACCTTACTGTAATATGCTGTTTTTATGCCTTACTATACTATGATGTTTTTGACATTTTTTACACCATAATATACTATGACGTTTTTTGAGAATTTTATGCCGTACTATACTATGATGTTTTTGACATTTTTTACACCATAATATACTATGACAATTTTGAGAATTTTATGCCATACTATACTATGACGTTTTTTTTGACATTTTTATGCCTTACTATACTATAATGTTCTTGAGAATTTTATGCCATACTAAATTATGACGCTTTTTGAGAATTTTATACCATACTATACTATGATGTTTTTGACATTTTTATGCCTTACTATACTATGACGTTTGTGTAGAATTTTATGCCATAAATTACTATGACGTTTTTTGAGTCTTATAGGCCATACTATACTATGATGTTTTTGACATTTCTATGAAATACTATAGTATGACATTTTTTGAGAATTTTATGCCGTACTATACTATGACGTTTTTTGAGTCTTTTAGGCCATACTATACTATGATGTTGTTAACATTTTTAAGCCATACTATACTATGAAGCTTTTTGAGAATTTTATGCCATACTATACTATGACGTTTTTTGACATTTTTATGCCTTACTATACTACAATGCTCTTGAGAATTTTATGCCATACTATACTATGACGTTTTTTTGACATTTTTATGGCATACTATACTATCTCTTTTTTGACATTTTTATGCCTTACTATACTGTGACGTTTTTTGAGAATTTTATGCCATACTATACTATGACGTTTTTGATGTTTTTATGCCATACTATAGTATGACGTTTTTTTTTTAATTTTATGCCTTACTACTATGACGTTTTTGGACATTTTTATGCCATACTATACTATGACGTTTTTTACATTTTTATGCCATACTATACTATGACATTTTTTGAGTATTTTAGGCCATACTATACTATGATGTTGTTAAGAATTTTTTGCCATACTATACTATGACATTTTTGGACATTTTTAGGTTGTACTACACTATGGCGCTTTTTGAGAATTTTATGCCATACTATGCTTTGAAGTTTTTGGACATTTTTATGCCATACTATAATATGACATTTTTGGAAATTTTTGTGACATACTATACTATGACATTTTTTGACATTTTTATGCCATAATATACTATGACGTTTTTTGAGAATTTTATGCCATACTATACTATAACGTTTTTTGAGTATTTTAGGCCATACTATTCTATTATGTTCTTGAGAATTTTATGCCATACTATACTATGACGTTTTTTGGGAATTTTCTGCCATACTATACTATGACGTTTTTTGAGAATTTTATGCCATGCTATACTATGACGTTTTTGACATTTTTATGCCATACTGTAGTATGACCTTTTTTTTTTAAATTTTATGCCTTCCTATACTATGACGTTTTTGGACATTTTTATGCCATTCTATACTATGACGTTTTTTTTTTTTATTTTAAGCCATACTATACTATGACGTTTTTTGAGAATTTTATGCCATGCTATACTATGACGTTTTTGACATTTTTATGCCATACTGTAGTATGACCTTTTTTTTTTAAATTTTATGCCTTCCTATACTATGACGTTTTTGGACATTTTTATGCCATTCTATACTATGACGTTTTTTTTTTTTATTTTAAGCCATACTATACTATGACGTTTTTTGAGAATTTTATGCCATGCTATACTATGACGTTTTTGACATTTTTATGCCATACTGTAGTATGACCTTTTTTTTTTAAATTTTATGCCTTCCTATACTATGACGTTTTTGGACATTTTTATGCCATTCTATACTATGACGTTTTTTTTTTTTATTTTAAGCCATACTATACTATGACGTTTTTTGAGAATTTTATGCCATACAATACTATGAAACTTTTTGAGAATTTTATGCCATGCTATACTATGACGTTTTTGACATTTTTATGCCATACTGTAGTATGACCTTTTTTTTTTAAATTTTATGCCTTACTATACTATGACGTTTTTGGACATTTTTATGCCATACTATACTATGACGTTTTTTTTTTTTATTTTAAGCCATACTATACTATGACGTTTTTTGAGAATTTTATGCCATACAATACTATGAAACTTTTTGAGAATTTTATGCCATGCTATACTATGATTTTTTTGGACATTTTTATGCCATACTATACTATGACATTTTTTGAGTCTTTTGGGCCATACTATACTATGATGTTCTTGAGAATTTTATGCCATACTATACTATGACGTTTATGGAAATTTTTATGCCATACTATACTATGACGTTTATGGAAATTTTTATGCCATACTATACTATGACGTTTTTTGAGAATTTTATGCCATGCCATACTATGATGTTTTTGAAATTTGATGCCATACTATGCTATGATGTTTTTTGAGAATTTTATGCCATGCTATACTATGACATTTTTGGACATTTTTATGCCATACTATACTATGACGTTTTTGGACATTTTTATGCCATACTATACTATGACATTTTTGGACATTTTTATGCCATACTATACTATGACATTTATGGACATTTTTATGCCTTACTATACTAAGACGTTTTTGAGAATTTTATGCCATACTATACTATGACGTTTTTTGAGAATTTTATGCCATACTATACTATGATGTTTTTTGGCATTTTTAGGCCATACTATACTATGACATTTTTTGGCATTTTTATGCTTTACAATATTGTTTCATTTGATGCCTTACCATACTTTTATGTTTTTTGGCATTTTTATGCCATACTATACTATGACTGTGTTTTTTTGACATTTTATTGCCATACTGTACTATGACGTTTTTTTGGCATTTTTAATGCCATACTATATTTAACTATTTACTTTAATTGGCCTATTTATACCTTAATAATACTATGTCATTTGATGCTTACCATAACTATGATGTTTTTGGGACCTTTTATGCTTATTATAATGTTGTTTTTTTTGACATTTTTGCCATACTATACTATGAACGTTTTTTGGCATTTTTTTTATGCCATACTATACTATTACTTTTAATGACATATTTATGCCTTAATATACTAATGTCATTTTGATGGCCTTCCGCATCCTACTGATGTTTTTTTAATTGACCTTTTTATTGCTTAATATACTATATTGTTTTGACATTTTGGTGCCATACTATAACTATGAAGTTTTTTGACATTTTTTATGCCCATACTATACTATGACGTTTTTTGAGCATTTTTATGGCTTACAATATTGTTTTCACTTTTGATGCCTTACCATACTATCACGTTTTATTACCTTTTATTGCTTAATATACTATGATGTTGTTTTTGACATTTTTTCATGCCATACTACACTATGACGTTTTTTTGCTTTTTATGCTTTACAATATTGTTTTAATTTGATGGCCTTACCATACTATCTACGTTTTTTTATTACCTTTTATGCCTTAATATAATATGATGTTTTTTTGACTATTTTTATTGCCATACTATACTATGAACGTTTTTTTGGCATTTCATATATGCATAGCTTATTACTCCTTACTTTAATTTGGATTTAATTTATG